AAAGGTATCGAAAATTTCAATCAAGAAAGAGAGCAAAGGAGAGTTGGTGATCTCTTGAACAAATCACCTTTAGGGCAGCAAGATAGGTTCTTCAAGGAAAGGGAGGAACAAGGGAAAACAGGAGGTTTTCCCAGTGGACTGACCCGTGACGAGATCCTATTCGCGGGCCCATAACACCACGACCTCCCCCTAACTCTCAACCTCCATTGCAGCCACCAATACAATTAAACATAAGACCACCTCGGGTCCCTGGAAATCCAAGACCACCTCCACCACCTCTATTTCCACGACCCCCCCCCCTCTTGTCACCACAAAACCAGACCTGTCCAAGATAGAGGAAGACTCTGTAGGGTCAATAAAAATCCTCCAAAGTCGGGCAAACACTTCCTCAAGAGAGGGGAGAGCAGATCCACCCAATATTTGTGCTCGAGCAAGTTCATTCATATTTAGGTTTTAAACCCACAAAAAACCTTGTCACATCAAGTTGCTCTCACTGTTGCTACTGAATTTGAACATCTGGAGTTAGAAGATGATACACATTAAGCTCATTACGGAGGTTTCTCATGCTTGCATAGTACTTTTCCAAGCTTTGATTACCTTGCTTCAGGTTAAAATACTCTTTGGTAAAGTTGGTACACTCTAGTGGTATTATCTTGGCCAAAATAGAGTTTCTTAGCATGGTCCCAGATTTCCTTAGTTGTATCCAAGAACATAAAGTTCACACTAATTTTAGGTTCCATGCTATTCCACAACCAGGCCATAATCTACGCATCCTCTTGTTCCCACTCACTAAACCCTCAAGAATCAGAAGAGGGTTTCTCCTCTCACATGTTTCATCTTTTTCTTGGCTCTCAAAAACACTTCCATAGATTTAGCCCAAGGCACATAGTTCTCACCATTTAATTTGATAGAGGTCATTTGAACATTCAGGTAACCGGGAGAAATCATAACACCTATCTTATTATCACTACCCTCTCCAGTTGTTGCTATCATAACAAAATCACCTCACACCATAAAAGAATTCAACTATGATAAGCAAAAAATCGCCCTTCACTATTCAGCACTACACCACACACCACACAATACAGTACTGTTATGACCACACTGCTGCTGTCATGGGTTCAGCACCTGAAAACCCTACTATCACCACACGTATCCAGACATAAACAGAGAAAAGAAAAAGGTTCATATGCATATCTACCAATCAACACTACCACATGGATGAAATCCAGCCCAAAAGGAAGAGAACACACTCCACTATTAGTCGACTAGAGATTTCTGTTCACACCTGTCCACAACCAGCTCCCTTCGTGTCATTGAGTAAAGGGCTTCTAGCAAACCACCACAATGGCCACCACCACAGCAACTGGAAGCATCATATTTACCTCGAAAAAGGAAAAACGACCACTCTTTTTTGGTCCCTTATCGATCCTCCAATTCATTTAGAAGTTACTTCAAAGAGAAGTTCTGATATGGCGATATCAAGAGGACGAAGGGAGAGAAAATAAAACTGAGTTCTAAACTGATTTCCTATGGCTCTGATACCATGTGAATAATTCGATTAAACCCTAGTTCAGTTCTATGTCTTAAGTAAGTAAGAAGAGAAGAAGAGGAAGAAAAGAGAGAGAGAGAGAGAGAGAGAAGGAGAAAGGGTTCGGTCTGAGAAGAAGAAAAGTCACCTCTTTCAGCCGACCCAATTTGTATTTATACTCTTTGTATTAGATTACAAAAGATAGAGTTGTCCCTCATTAAGTCTGGGACACACAACTTAAACCCAGATAAAATAGACAACTTAACCTTAATTAGATAGACAAAAGACTTAACTACCCTTGTACTGTCGATTCTAACAATTTTTTTATAACTTTTTATCATGATGGGGTTGCCTCATTCAAGACTAGCACACTTGGATGTTGACAAGGAGGAGCTATAAGAACTAAGTAGATGAGTAACAACCATTTACCATTAAAAGAAGGTGAATTTGCAACAGGATTTATTAATAAACAAGAAGTTACTGTTATCTCCAGCAAAACAGAATTCATGCAGCCAATGATGGGGGTGGGGGGATGTTGGATGGCACCAGGAAGGATGTACCAACCTGATAGGTATAGAGCTTCACATATATCAAAGGGATTCGCTGGTTGATCCTACTGTAGTGCCTTGCAATACGGTTAACAGTCTCAGGGACAAATTCAAGTACAAGATTTAGGTAGAGTTCTTCCTTGTCTGTTGTTGAAAAGAAACAATGCTTGAGGGAAACAATGTTAGGGTGATCCATCATTTGCATTATCTGCAATTCCCTATTCTTGTAGCGTTTGTCTTGGAGAACTTTCTTTATAGCAACAATTTCTCCAGTTTCTCTACATTTTGCCTGCACACAGTAGTAATGAATTATCTAAAGAATAAACAATTTAAGGATGTGAAGAAACTAAATTTCCATTCTGCTTACCTGGAAAACAACACCAAAAGAACCTGTTCCAACCACATGTTCTGCTATGTAACTAATTGTCTGTCAATGAGGTCGAGACATCACTAAAATGCATATTTATCAAGGAAGATCATCATGGCATGTGTTGAACAAAAGAATAAATCTCTTCAAAGGTAATTTGCTTTCAACCTGCCTGGATTGACCACTTCGACCACCAATAGTTGTTGCTATTACATGTCCTGCCTCAGCACCATTGCCATCAATTATATCTGGTTCACTATCCTGCAACAGAAATAATGACAATAATTAAGTAAACAAGCTAATGCGAAAGGCTCCTGCATTTCGATTACCCAAGTTTCCAAACCGTTTCTCACAAAGCAAGGGGCCAACAGGGATCACATTGTTGGATACCTGATGTAATATATGTGGTGCAAAGCACTACTTTTTTTGTAAATATTACCTATTCTTTCTCACAAATAAATAAAGTTTTCCATGTTAAACAAGGGAAAAATTAAAGGTAGGTTGCACACTCAAAAGAAATTCCAGAAAAAAAAATGTAAAAAGAATCACAAGATATCTAAATAGGGGAAAATCTATGATGCCAGAAAGACATGGTACTAGAAGAGCTTTGACAAATCAAAAACCACCTATGGATTTTGATAAATGCCACCTGATTGATTAACATGTTTATGATACTGGTTGATTGGTCATAAGTTTTTTGGATATTATGTCTTTTTGGTATCATAGTCGAACCCATCTAAATAGTTACATGAAGAATTAACTATGAAACAGAATGTTACTTTATCATCATCCTGATCCAGCCTGTTGTCCCTCAGCCTCATCTCCAGCATCTCTCTCCCAAGCCAGTCAACTGAGCTAGATGACCCCTTGAAGCTGTTCGCTGCCCTTGAACTGCCTACACCACCATGTCCTAGATCAGTGGACGCCATTAAATATGCCTCCTCGTAAGCAGACACTAATATTTGCTACACTCTTATTATTCTTTATGATTCTTCACTCCATATTGTCCAGGCAACAATCCTCCTGATGGGACAATAGCATCCTAAAGTCAAAAAACAAAAGGCAACATAAATAAGAAATATTTAGAAGATAGTGAATGTCTTCAGTTTTCTTTTTTTTTTCCTAGAAGTAGAATAAATGGATTAGTTCTGGTCCAGAAAATGCTCTGAAATAAATCCAGGCCCAAAATGATTTAGACGAAGGTACTGAGAAAGATCTGAAGACATATTCTACAAAAATTAGGACTCAATGGGAAAGATAGAATATGTAGCCAATATGTGTCTTTTTATTTATAGAATCTTAGGAAGAGAATTATCACACTTCAAGATATCAAAAAACCTTGCTGCATCTAAATTTCTGATTCTAACCAAGTTATAAAATATATTAAACTAGAAACAGCTACCTTACAAAATGATTCTAAACCTCAAATAAGCCAAAGAGCTTAAGGACTATTAAGGGAAGAGAAAAAAAAAAGGAAAAGATTGTATTTTAACTTTTTTAGAGCAATCAGTTAACACCAAACAAATAAACATTGTAGTAACTTTTTACAATAATCAGTTAATCCCAAATAAAGTGCTATATTGAATGTCTAGAAGATGTTTGCAGTTGCTAACTTGCTTCCTTGAGGGAAAATCAAAGGATGGTCATACATGATCTAATCAAAGAATGCTTTAACCAAGAAATCATCATTCCTATCAGTGTTTTAAGAGCACAAGGTGCAAAAAAAGCAGAAGGGGAAGGCGAGGCATGCACCTTTTTCAAAGCAAGGTGCAAAACTATAAAAAAAATGTCAAAAAATTCAAAAAATTAATAAAAATACTAATCATAATATAAATAAAAATATAAACTTTAATTTCAAAATAAACATTTGAAAAAAACTATTATCTAAAATTCAAAAAAATAAACATAAAATGTAAAGTGTATTCAAAAGAAAATTTAAAAATAAAATCAAACATACAAAACATTTTCAAACATGCAAAACCCACAATTTCTTTTTTTCCTCAATTGCATTACTTCAAATAGATAATGTGATGTAAAACATTTTGCATTCTTGATTCTACAAGCTGCCCAAGCCCCTCTAGGCAAGCCCAAACAAATCCATGTTAGGGTCTTAAATTCTCAATCCTTACACAAAAATAATTATTTTATAATATAAATTGTCTTTTAAGAAGATATTTTACTAGGATGAATGAATGAACAACATTAAAATCATTTATTTTTGTGTAAGGATTGAGAATTTAAGACCCAAACATGGATTTGTTTGGGCTTGCCTCGAGGGGCTTGGGCAGGCCCAGTCGTTAGGTTCAAAAAAGAACAAAAGGTGCAAAAAAATTAAAAAGGCGCACTAGGAAAGCGCCTTTTGAAAGTGCTGCGCCTAGGACCTAGGCGAGGCACATACCTTAAAATGTGCCTCGCCTGAGTGCCTAGGCGTGCCTTTTAAATCACTGATTCCTATCACCAATCAAAAGAGAGAAAGAGCCATCACTTCATTCCATTTACAACTCTGATTAACATTTGTATTAGGGTCCACTGACTCTTCTTCCAGCCACAAAAAAAAAGTTCAAGGATATATTCTAATCGCCTATCATTTAGAACTCTACAAATTGCCTTTATAGTAGTGAAATTAGTGAAAAAATAAATGATACAAAGGGGAAGAGATTTCACTTAGAGAAAATCATAACTGAACAAACAACAAGCTGGAAAAAAAAATGTAAACATTAGCAACCACAATGATCAGTTTTGTCCTAAAATCTGACCCCAAGCAAACATGTACAGTAGCAGTTACAACATCTGCATCTTTGTCTGGCCTAAACATACAGATATACCATTGCTAAGATGAAGGACACTAACAGATTTCCTACTGAGCCTATAATTTTTTCACTTTCCTTACCTAAAAAGCAGTACCTCAAGAAAAATTCCCATCAAGCTTTAAAATGCCCTTCCACAAAAGCCTCATCACCATGGATTAAACTACTGTACAAGCTTTCTCACTTTTTTCCAATTTAAGTCATTAAAATCCCAACAAGATCAATTCACTGCACTATTTGAAGAATGGCAATTCAGGGAAACAGACCAGCCCACTATCCGATAGCCTATAAGATCTTAACAGGTTTTTTCAATAATAAACAGTAGAATTGTATTAATATCACAATAATGTTATAAGATCCTAACAAGTTCAGTTGATATTTATTATGAATTCTGATAACCTTTCTTAGTTAGTTACTCTGAACTCTAAAGTATCATCTTAGAGCGCTTAATATTCTTTATATTCCTAAACAAGTTGTCCTATTTCTGTGCCCAATCCTTTGATAATGCTTTGTACACACTAGCACACCGGACCATGAAATGAGACTTTTTGCTAATTCTGCAACCGGTTTTTCTGTTTGTAGTTTTTAAACATGTAGAATTTGATACTGCTGAGGCCCCAACAGTGGATCTTTGGGTTGAGCCATACTCCATAGTGATGTGGGGCTCCTTTTAAGAATGAACTATAAATATTTTATGTATCAAGTTTACTTAGATATATGTCATTCATAATAAATTTGAAGTTTGTTTTACTTACTGTTGAGGCCCCAATTAAACGGCAAAGTCAAATTCTTTCTTTTTGTTTATCTTTCAAATACCACTTACCCTCAAGGAGGAAATAAAATCCTGCTTTTCTGAGAACTGTAACCATTAACTTTAGACACCCTATTGATTTTCTTCCATTGCCAATTTCTCGTCCAATTTCCAAATCTTTGACACATTTAAAAGGAAACGCAATAAATCTCTTAACAGTACCAAACTGGAGATTTTATACATATAAAAAAAAGAAACATGTAACTAATTTAAGTAACGACTCTCTCCCATAACAATTAGATAGCATTTGTCAAGGATAATTAAATTCTTAGAGGACCACTTGCAATATATTACATAGCTTGTAACATAAAGTGAGGAATTCTGTCAAACTGCCTGACCTCCCATGTTTACAAATTGCCTATGTTTTTGCACCACCAAACAAGAAATTCCTTTTGACAGCATAACTAAAGCCAGAGAAGCTTTAATTCTTCCAGCAAAAATTTAAACTTACTCGATCAGATTGTTAAGATATTGGTGCATTTTTTCAAAGAAATCACATAACTAGAATTGAAAACAACAATAAATAATTCCATCATTTGGCATTACAGACTGAGACTCATCTATAATTCTCTGGTTCTAATTAGTTTCATAGGCAATAGATAGAGAACAGAAATGTCTTGATCAAAAGACAGCCCTAGATAGTTGAAGATTCTAAGCAGATCCTTCGAAGATCTTGTCTCACCGACCTGGAAAGAGTTAAAGAGAGAATCCGAGAAGAATTGATGCATTGTAGCTTCTCCCCAGATTGTACGACACAGGAAGAAGGATCCAAAGATGTGTGTGTGATGGAGAGAAGGATAGAGCTTTGAGATGGTAATTTGATAGCTATTCACAATCTGTCTCTCTGGCTTCGCCTTTCGATAACTCTGCTGATTGTCTTTCTTCCACCTTTCATGTCGGCCTTTTTTAATTTTTATTTTTCATCTTTCTTCCCTCTTTTGAAGTTTGACGTTAGGCTTGACGCCCGACGACGCCGGATTTTGTCTGTTGTTTTGACGCCAGTCACGCCACCATCACTTTCTTTGGATTTACTTCAGTTAAATTCCCACTTGCCCTTGTTCTTTTTATTAAATGACTATATAGTCCTTTTATCTCCACAAGGGATCGGACTTCTACCAATCAAACCGAACGACTATGAATGTGTCAATAGTTGGGTAAAATTTTGTTTTAATGTTTCCTCCACCAGTTAAGTATTTATCCAACATTTATGGTATTAATAAAAGTTCATCTTGATTTATGTGTACGTCAACCGTTGGGTGAAACTTCGTTTTAATGTTTCCTTCACCCAACAATTAAGCGTTTATTCACTATTCCGCTAATGTGGCGCCTAATGGGCACTAGTTGTCAATAAAGGGACCAACCATTTTTCTCAGCTTTGACACCAAATTAAGTACAAATGTTTATTTAATAAATGCCCAGGAACCAAACACATACTTTGTCCCGATTAACAATTTTCGAATATAACCCTAAAAAATATAGGGGTTTTTACAACCAAGTCAACCTTAGAAAACGAAATCTCAAGTAGCCCAGTATAGCATTCGAAGCCCCCATCGACACCACTTAACAAATTAGTATTTATGGGCGACTCCACCTGTCTCACACGTCAACGAAAAATTTGGTTGTTTTCCCATTATACCCCTGAATTCAAAAAGAAGAAGAAATTTCTTCGCTCTCCATCTTCCCAAGTTTTTGAATGTTGCAAGGATTCTTAGAGCCCTCTTGTGTTCACCGTTCACTAGCCGTTGAAGACACCCTTCATTCACCAACCATTGGAAGGAAGCTCAAAGCTGGGTTTAGCGGCCATTGGAAGGATTCTTAGAGGCCCCCTGTGTTCAACGGTCATTGAAGGCCCCATTTGTTCATTGGTCTCCTTCATTTTCAGGCTTTGATCGTTGGAGGCCCCCTCCCTTCGTTCACCGTTGGAAGGTAGCTCAAAGCTACTAGGTTTAGCGGCCGTTGGAAGGATTCTTAGAGGCTCCTTGCGCTTAATTGTCGTTGAAGGCCCCATTTGTTCATCAGTCCCCTTCATTCCCAGGATTTGGCCTTTGGAGGCCCCTGTGTATACCGATCGGTAGAAGCTTCTCGATTTACCGAACGTTTGAAGTGTTCTGTTCTCTGCCAGTTTGGTTATTGATTTCTGGTATTTGCCCATTGTGAGTGAAGTGGTGAGGGGGGTGAGGGTAATGGTCTCCTTGAAGGACAGAATAGGCTAGGGAAGAGCAACCAAATAGAAAGTCGAGGCGGAGAGGATAAAGAGGGAATTGGATGATAGGGTTAACCAATGATTGGATGATTGTCCTCCCATGCGAGAAGGTTCTCTATTTATAGGGAAGATCCCGAGATCCTGAAAGGAATGAGCCAGAGGTGCTCATTTTCTACTAGGAAAGGGAATATTGTATTCGTTGTCAGTCATTAAGGGCACTATTGGGGCTTCAACACGTGTCTCTATCCAAGGATCAGCTTCCCTTTCACTCAGAGGTCCTCATAATGCGTGTGTGCTACTGCCTCGTGCATGCCTCACTTAACTGACATGGCGAAGGTGACGTCACCGTTTGGCGGTGGTGTCTCACTAGATTTATCGTAGTCCTGCGGTGCACTCTTTAGGTTCATCGCAAGGGGAGGGTTGGTTGTAAACCGGTCACGAGTGTCTATGTAGTACCAATACTATTAGACAGTGTATGCCCTTAGTTCCAATCAGAATGATGTACATTATGACATTTTAATGTAAATGAATAAAGTACATATTTGATTTATGTTATTATGGTGTGTTTTTGTGTAATACCCTTAAATTGGACACATATGAGACTCGTGTTAGTTTAAAATCTTCACAGCCGTTGGATAGATCTGGGGAGATTTATCCTGCCAAGGTTGACACTGATGT